TAACCAGCAACCCCCCCAGCAACTTCCATGCCTTAACAGAGGGGAAAACAAGCAACCCCAGACGGCATCGCCTCAATCACTATTCTTTATTTCCTCTAAACTCTTTACATTCCTGATGACCTCATCGTTAAGAGTCTGATGTTATCACCAACCACGAGGCTTTCTGACCCCCATTGCCACATTCCCAAATCTCCCCCTTCTTTATTAATATCAACCATTTTTCTGACACGAATTACCACTCCATATAGAACAGGCAAGAGCCAACTGGTCAGGAGCTGCCTCAGCAAGAGGCAACCAGCCGTGATGAAGAGGAGTCCCCGGGCTTCATCCCCACAGCCCCCGGTGACCACCAGTGGGAGGAGTTTGTGGAAACGGCTTCTGGGGCTAATTTTAATACAAAGCGGGGACAGGTTCCGTGTATGTACAGGCGTATTGGGGAACTTCATGCATATATAACATTTTACTGCACATAACCAGGGCCAGTTGCTGCACTGGGGCACGCAAGCCTCTGGGAGCTATCCCACATGCACCCAGCGCCGAAATAAACCACATTTACATTTATAAACCTACCTTATAACTCGATTGCTTTGAGTTGTAGAGTTCTTCACAAATCATAGAAGGAAGGAATGTGGTAGTGGGATATGCTTGCTGTGATAACAACACCTAACAGACGCCTTGTAAAATGCAGACAACCAGAATCCTGGGAGCAATGATGGGGAATTCACGGTGTAAGAAACATTACCACCTCAAAGAGTAAAAGAGTCAAAACAAATTTGATTTATAACAGCTTGGCAACTGAAAGCCGTGCTTTGTCTGTGAAGCACCAGATAGGTTGTGAGCCTGGATTACCCAGTCATGGGGAAACAGTCGAGAAAATCCCAGTCAAGAAAAAAAAAATGTATATAAACTGTGTTTTGGAACTAGAGGCGTGCTCCTGCTTGTGGGATGCCCGTCATCACAATCATGAATAAAAATGCTGCTTCACTGAGATCCTGGCCTAAGCCCACATTATTGGCTACAGTGAGAAACAAAGCGGTGTTTGTGCACCGCAAGGTGGATTGTGGTGTGAATCCTCTCACCTCCTGCTGAAATAAACCACATCCCTACTTTATAGCTCATTTGCTTTGAGTTGTAGAGTCCTTCCACGAATCACCGTGTCCAGCAGTGACTGCGCAGCACGGCACTGGGGAGGGCGTTAGGCAGGTACGGGGAAGGCCCCAAAATAAGGAGGATAGCTCAGAAAAACAGGATGAGCAGTGCAAAATCAGTAATTATGTTTAACTTTTAACCCAGGCTCCCTTTGATCAGGGACAGAATGCTCCTTCTGGGAGAAACAAAGGAATGTTGCCAATAGCAAGTAGCCTGAGGTTGTGCTTAGGCAACATGTGGCCATTTTGAGAAACAAAGTTGTATTTTTGCAATAGAAGTTGTTTTTGCAGTGGAATATCCACTAACCTTGCGTCATGCAGGCAGGACAGCAGCATAGCACTAGCTAAGCAGATAAAAGGAAGGTCCCACTGTCCCAACATAAGAAGGATAGCTAAAACAAAACAAAACAAAACAAACAAAAAAAAAAAAAAAAAAAAAAAAACAGAATGAGCAACATGAAATCAGTAAAAACAAGAACCATGGGCCCTCTAGTCACAAGAAAAGAAGGAAAAAAAAAAAAAAAAAAAAAAGGAAAAGGAGAAAATAATGGCTGGTCAAATAAAATTGTACCTATGTGGTATAGAAGTGTGTTGAGTAGGCTGTGAAGCTGTAGTACTCAACCAGTGAGGAAACAGGGAGATATCAGGTGTCGGGAAATAGGGGATTTAGGGTTATGGTGAACTTGTACCATGTGCTCCTGCTTGCAGGACACCCACCTTTGCATTGAGAATAAAATAGCTTCACAGCAGACCTCATTTGAGCAAATTATTGAGGTTTTTCTCACAACAGGATGGCTGGAAGAGGAGGTGGGGATGTGCACAACCCTGGAGCATCTCCTTCCTAAACCCGCTGCACGAAGCCGCGCCACGCAGCACATCCCAGCACCAGGGGCCCGGCACTGCGCAGGGCTGGGGGGCGATGCTGCCATGGAGCCGCCAGAGGTGCCAGGAGGAGAGGAAAAGGGGGGAAAAAAAAAAGGGGGGGGAGAGGAAAGGGGGGAAAGGGGGAGAAAATTGTATGGAAAGGGCTGAGGGTTTGGGATAAGGATGGGGAGATCACTCAATAATTATTGTCACAGGCAAAACAGACTCAGCATAAGGAGATTAATAAAATTTTTCACCTATTACTAACAAGCTAGAGCAGTGAGAAGCTAAAAGCAAATTACAAACACCTTCCTCCTGACACCTGCTCCAGCACGGGTCCCCCACGGGTCCCCAGACCCCCTGCTCCTGTGTGGGCTCCTCTCCATGGGCCGCAGCCTCCTCCAGGCCACATCCACCTGCTCCACCGGGGGCTCCTCCACCCACGGGGGGGCTGCAGCGTGGAGATCTGCTCCGTGTGGCACCCATGGGTGCAGGGGGACAGCCTGCTCCACCAGGGGCCTCTCCACAGCCCGCAGGGGAATTGCAGACCCAGGAGGTGTAGGGGTGTGCAGACCCCCATTTTGGGGAGCCGGCACCCCCTGCGCATCCAGCCCCATCCTGGGGGGCTGGCCTGGAGAGGAACGTCCCCCCAGCCCCCCCAGCCCCTCGCTGGTGCCCTCCTGGCGGTGGGTGGCCACTCCTGAGCTGGCCAGCAGCAGGGGCCAAGGTCCAGGCGGGGAGCAGGGGGCAGCCGAGCCGTGCCCCGCGCAGCGCCATGAGGCTGCGGCTGCTCTGTGCCCTCGCCGTGGCCCTCCTGGCCGTGGCCGGGGCCAACCCACGGGACTCCAAGAAGGGGAAAACGCTCACACGGGACCGGGAGGTTGGTGGGGGGCAGAGGGAGGAGGCCAGAGCTGGGCAGCAGCAGCCAGGAGGGGAGGGAGGCTGCAAGGGAAGTGTTGTGGGGAGGGGGAAGACGCACGGCACGGCGCGGTGGCTCTGGCACCATGGGGGGAGTGATTCCCCAAAATATTGTCCCCCCCAGGGGACACCGGTGCTGTCACCAGCACCGTGCTCCAGGCACGGCAGAGCCCTGGAGGGGTCCTGGTCGGGGGCTGCGCTGGGCAGGGGTGGCCCCGAGGATGGGCTGGGGGCAGTGGGATCTGCCCGAGCCCCTCGTCCCGGGGGGCTGCGCCGTGGGGGGAGCGCTGGGGCGTCCCCGGAGCCTTCGCTGTGCCAAAACACTGCTGCTGCTGATGCTTGCACAACCAGCAAACATTTCATCAGGGCTGGCGAGGGGCTGAGCGGGGGCAGGAGGAGCACGGCCTTGGGGCCGGCAAATCCTCGTCCCCTTTGCCTTCCTCCTCGCCCCACATATCCCGGCTCCATCCCTGCTTTTTGCCCCGTCCCGCTGCGGGGGGAGCCAGGACTCAGCAGCACCGACTGATGCCTTCCCCCCACAGGCGGGGACGCGCGGCAGGGGCCAGCGCCGGCCGTGCTCGGGGTGCTTCTCTGTGCTGAGCGAGGTGAGCGGGGACCGGGGGGGCTGGGGGGACGGGACGGGACGGGATGGGATGGGATGGGATGGGGATGGGGATGGGGATGGGATGGGGATGGGGATGGGGATGGGGATGGGGATGGGATGGGGATGGGGATGGGATGGGATGGAATGGGGATGGGGACGGGGATGGGGATGGGATGGAATGGGGATGGGGAGGGGATGGGGATGGGATGGGGATGGGGATGGGGATGGGGATGGGGATGGGGCACCCACGGACACACACCCCTCGCACTGCTCCGTACCCCCCACCTGCAGGAATCCACCTCCATGTCCTGGAGCACCGGAGATGTGGATGAAGACCCCGCAGGCCGGCGGGTGAGTGCAGGGCGGCGCTGCCTACCCGTAGACCCCCCCCCACGGCTCCAGCAGGGCCAGGGGACCACAGCCCCCCTTCCCCATCACCCCGTTCTTGGCTCTGACATCCCGCTTGTTCCCACAGGGCGGTCAGGAGCGCACCAGGAGGGAAAGCGAGAGACCTGCCCAGGTCCTGCACCTCAGCCAGGTACCGGCACCGTGGGACGGGCACCAGGGGTGGTCACGGAGACCCCCGAGGTGACCCCTGCTGTATCCTGCAGGAGGCACCGGGTGGCCCCGTGGCACGGGTGACCCTGCGCAAACCAAAGCGAGGACGGAGCCGGGCGTCCCGCCGCCCCCCGACAGCACCGCAGGACCCCGCCGCCCCCCACCAGCCCTGAGGAGACCTGGGGGGGGGCCCTGTTGTGCCCTCCGCTCAGTGGGGTCACCCCACACGCTGCTGTCCCTGCACCCCAAAGCGCTCTGCAGGGGTGTCCCCACGCGCTGTGCGGAGCCACCGAATAAAGGCACCAAGACAGCCTGAGTGGGTGCTTCTGGGGGCCCCACACCCACCCCCAGCACAGCCGGGTGGTCCCCAGTGCCCCCCACACCCCCCACGCCCCCCATCCCTCCCCTTCCCACCACCGCTCTTCCCCAGCCCCCCACCACATTCCCAGTGCCCCCCGAGTGCCCCACAGCACTTGGGGCACCCGCACTGCACGGGGCCACCTGTACCCACATCCCCCCCTCCAAAACACCCATTGGGGGGGTCCCCACAGTGGGGGGGCTGCGTGGATCGGCGCCCCCACCCCAACCCCAACCCTGGGGTGGCCCCGGTGGGAAGCCACGGAGCGGCGACCGGAGCCAGTGCCGGTGCCTGGGGGCCGGCCCGGGACGGGAGGGGACGGGAGGGGCCGGGAGGGGCCGGTTCCGGGGTTCCGAGGGGGGTCGGAGCACGGCGGGACCCGGCGCGGTGTGGGGACCCCGGGACCGGCACCGGAGGCTCCGCGTTCCCGCCACGAGTTCCCGCCACGACGCGGCCACGCCCCCTCGGAGCTAAGCCACGCCCCCTCCAGGGCTAAGCCACGCCCCCAGTGCCCCAAGCCACGCCCCTAGCAACAAGCCCCGCCCTTAGTAACAAGCCCCGCCCCTAGCAACAAGCCCCGCCCCTCCCGCAGCGCCCCCTGCAGGCCCGGTGGCGGCGGCGGCGGGCGCAGGCCGCGCGGTGCCGGTGGCGGCGGCCATGTCCCGCCGGGGCCCCGCTGAGGTGAGGGCCGGGACCGGCACCGGCACCGGGAGCGGCACCGGGGGCTCCGGGGAACAGCCGGGGGTGCGGGGCTGAGAGGAACCGGGGGGGCTGAGGGGGTCCCGGGGGGGCCTCCTGGGGGGGCTGGGCCTGGGGGGGAGGGCCCCGGGGGGGGTGGGCCCGGGGGTACCGGGACCGGGGCTGTGAGGACCGGGGGTGCCAGGACCGGGGGTGTGGGGACCGAGGGGATCCCCCCCAGAGCACCCGGGGTCCCAGCGCCCCCCCCCCGGTCGCCCCTCACCCCCTGTCCCCCCCCCTCCAGGCCTCGCCGTGGGGCCCGGGCACCGGCCGGCTGAGGCGCTTGCAGACGGCGGGGCCGGAGCAGGCGCAGGCCCAGCAGCTGCAGGAGCTGCGGAGCAGGACGGAGAAAGCGGAGCGGAGGCTGCTGGCCTGCGAGAACCTGGTGGGCGAGCTGGGCAGCAACCTGGCAGCGCTGGGCAGCCTGCTGCAGGACTACGGGCAGCTGCAGCAGCGCCTGGACAACGTGGAGAACCTGCTGAGGAACAGGAACTTCTGGATCCTGCGCCTGCCCCCCGGCAGGAAGGGGGAAATCCCCAAGGTAACGGTGCCTGGGAGACCCTAACCCAGGTGGCAAAGCCCCAGCTCCGTCGTGGGCTCCTCAGAGCCCTGGCGTTGGGCTGGTTCAAGTCCTGAGCCTCAGAAACTCACCAGGCAGCCCTGCAGAGCTCCTCAGGTAGCAGTGTCACCGTGCTGCCGTTGTGGTGGCCTCCCCGTGCCCCCTGGTGCCATTCCCAACCCCTGAGCCCTGGAGGAGCAGCAGCCTGCAGGAGCATTTCAGTGAGTGCCCCTTCAGCAGCTCTGGAGGGGTTTGGGAAGTGCCACAGCCTGCTCAGCAACGGGCTGGCATCGCTCAACGCCTGTGAACCCAGGGCTTGCAAGCCCCGATGTGTCCAGGCACCCTGTGCTCTGTCCGGGCACATTCTCTGCCTGGAGGTCCCTGTGCAGTTCCCTTTCGTTGTGAAAACCGTCACCGAGTGTGCAGTGTTTGTGATTCCAGGTGCCGCTCACGTTCGATGACATTTCCGTGTACTTCAACGAGCAGGAATGGGAGACGCTGGACAGCTGGCAGAAGGATCTCTACAAGGCTGTGATGAGGGGGAACTACGAGACTCTGATCTCCCTGGGTAAGGCACGGGGTGCGTTCCTGCGGGTGAATTTCTCTTCTAGGCAGGCTGGGCGGCCTCCCTCCAGTCCCACCAGTGGTCTGGTGTGGTGGGGCTGGACACCCGTAGCTCGCAGAACCTCTCCTGGGCAGCCAGACCCAGTCCTTTTCCTTCCTTCCTGCTTGTAAGAGCTGTCTGTAGGAAATACCAGTAACAGAAATAACACAAACGATGTCTCTTATACCCTATATCCAGATGAGATGCTATTCATAAGGACTGTACAAGGGGATTCGAGGGCCAGGGAACCATCACGACCTTCCAGCACGGTTCAGGAGTTACCTGGGTGAAGTTTGATAATTGCATCTTGAACCAATTCTTGTCTTCTGGCTATTTAGCCGTGATTTGAAGTGACAGGGGCAAAGAACCGATTTAATCTCATTCAGTTCTGAGCACATCTGACACGTTCTTGGATGATTTGGGCGATAAGATTGCCCATCAAAAACTCCTTCTGTGGGCGTGACTGGTAACGTGCTGGTTGGTGCAGTCCCTGAAGCTGCAGCTTCACTTTTCTAGATAATTCTCTGTGGAAGGCACAAACCTGGTCCTCACGTGGTCCATCTGATGTGGGCATTTTTACACATCCTTCTGTCCCTACTCCAGAACTAAAGCAATCTGATAACAGCAGCTCAGAAGATTTACTCTTCAAATCACCGCTAACGTGGAGATGGGAGGGAAAGGTTAAAGACAAAGCCTCTCAAATCCTTTGAGATTTTATTTCTCTTTCTATTATTTAAATCTTCTCTGTGCTTGAGCCCCGGCCGTGCTTATGGGTGAATCCCAACACGGGGCTAAGAAATCAACACCACCATCTTCCCTTGTTTCAGCGCGGGCAGTGTTTGAAGTGTTTTAAGAGTTTAACAGAGCAATGGTGTAGCCAGTTCCTAACAAAACGTCCTCTGCTGCCCTGTCCCTGAGCAGACTATGCCGTGGCCAAGCCTGACATCCTGTCCCGGATCGAGAGGGATGAAGAGCTCTGCAGCAGAGGCTGTCGCGAGGCCCCGCAGATGGACATCCTGGATGGGCAGGAGCCCCCGCAGACGTGCGTCGGAGATGGGCAGGAGCCCCCACAAATGCATCTCAGAGACGGGCAGGAGTCCCTGGAGATGGAGACGTGCATCCAAGACAGCCAGGAGCCCCCAGAGACGTGCATCCAGGACGTTCAGGAGCCCCCAGAGACGTGTAGCAGAGAGAGTCAGGATCCCCCGCAGCCGTGCATCCAGGACAGCCAGGAGCCCCCCCAGACATGTGTCAGAGACATTCAGGAGCCCCCACAGACGTGTAACATAGAGAGTCAGGAGCCCCCCCAGCCGTGCACCCAGGAGAGTCAGGAGCCCCCCCAGCCGTGCACCCAGGAGAGCCAGGAGCCCCCGCAGACATCCATTACAGATGTCCAGGAACCCCCCCAGGCACCAGCAGATGTGGAGCAGGTGGAAGAGGACTTGGGAGACGACGTAGAAGTGGAAGATGCGGAAGATGACATGGGTAAGTTAAACGGGTGCCAGCAGGACGAGGCCGTTCCTGGCCCTTGCTTTCTCCCGTCGCTGTCTGTGTTAGAAAGGAGCTGCGCTGAGGTTCTGCTGGCTGCATTGGCTAACTGTCCATGGAATGCCTTGAGTCTTATCTCCAAGAGGAACATTTATGCTTGGCCACACGAGTCGTGGGGAGACAACAGACAAAACCTGCCAGAAGGGGCTGGGATGGAGCCGGGAGCGGTGGGACAGACCCCTTGGGATCTCTTCCAGCTCCTGAGTATGAAGGCCAGGCAAAAAAAAAACAGGAGACACTGGAAAGGTGCAGGCAGGCCCAGAGAGAGACGAAGGTAGAGCTGTGTTTGAGAGCTCTGTCCTGCTGGAATTAGGAGCTGGGGGGCTACAGGAGCTTCGTGAGGGGCTGGGTGAGCACTGGCAGGGGTCAGGGGCTGGCTCTGTCCTTTGAGGAGGGTTACCCAGAAACAGTGCAGGCCCCAGGTGTGTCTTTGGGGGTTGTTTTGTCAAGTGCTCCTGGGAAGAAAGGAAAAAGGTGTTACACGGACACAGCCTCTCCCTCTCCTTTGAGATTTTAAGTCACCTTCTGTTAGGTTTTCGCTGTGCTTGAGTTAGAGCATGGGTAACGTGTCCGTGTCCGTCCTTACCCCCTGCCAGCCCTGGGGCGAAGGGAGAAGGGTCACTGAAGGGTCTGAGAGGTCAGCAGAGGAATTCTGTAGCCAGTTCCTACCAAAACTGAAAAAACTGTCCTCTGCTGCCCTGTCCCTGAGCAGACTGCGCTGCGTCCGAGCCTGACGTCCTGTCCCGGATCGAGAGGGATGAAGAGCTCTGCACCAGAGGCTGCCAGGAGAGCCCACAGCCCTGCATCCGAGCTGGGCAGGAGCCCCCACACACACCAGAAGAGACGGGCGGGAAGGAAGAGGCTTTGGGAGAACAGAAAGTCCCCTCGGAAGCTGGCACAGGTGAGTTACCCGAGAGACACCGAGCTTGGAGGAGCATCGCCAGGGGAAGCAAAAGTCCTGGGGTGCGCTGTCAGAGTGCTGCAAGGGCAAATGGAAGAGGTTTGAGGGCCTGAACGTAAGGCGCAGTGGGAATGCCACCCATGGCATTGATGGGGAGAGTTTGGGATGGATGAGGCTGCTCTGCGGAGGTTCCTTGTGGCTCCTTGGGGTCTCTTCCCGGACCTCTCTCTGCTTTTGGTCCCTGTGTGCTTCTTGAGCTGGCCCTGGCTCCTCTGCACAGTCCCAGCATGTCTCCAGTTAGCATCCGAACATGTCTGCAGTTAGCCAGCAGATGTGAGCTGTCCGCTGGTGCTGAAAGTTGCTTTCCTCTTCCCTGCCAGCAGGGCTGCCCATCCTGGTGATGAATGTCACGTCCCTGAGTGCGCGGGGAGAGGGGCTGAGCAGGGACGTGAAGAAGGAGACAGAGGAGGAAGAGGACCCGGCCGAGCACGGCTCCGGTGAGTTACCCCGTGCGTGGCAGTCACGGTGCTCTGCGGGCAAGAAGCAGCCTCCAGCTCGCTCACGGGCTTGAAATAGGAAGGTTTAGAACATTCCAGATCCTTTTGTCACCCAGCAAGGGAGGAATCTGGTACCAGGTGGGGTGTGCAGCCCTGTTATCTGCAGAGGGAATGAGCCCAGACGGGGATCCTGCTAGCAGCAGTCGGGGGAAGCGCGCTGGGTCGCCTGCAGCACTTGGCATTCGGCAACAGTTCCCAGCTAGCCAAAAGCCAAGAGCCTGAGGTACTGCTAAGGATTTTTTTTTTTCCTGATACATCTTGTGGCCATCGTTTGGTGGTTTTAGAGGCAGAGCCCTTTGCCCTGTGGCACTGCAGCAGAGCAGAGCCCGAGGGCACGCCGAGCTGCTGAGTTGCTCAGGCCAGGACCCTGCAGTGGCACCGGCGCCTCCCCACTCTGCGTTCTCAGATTTTTCGGGAGCTCCTTGCTCGCAGAAAGCCTGCTGGGTGCTTTGGGACTGAAACCACAGCACGGAATCGTCCCCGCAGTGTGAGTGGTGAACGCCTGTGTTGTTTCATTTCAGAGCAAGGCTCTTTGGCAGAGGAGAAGGCCTGTGAAGGGACCTCTCCCCCTGACAGCCTGGAGGTGAAGGAGGTGGGGCCCAACGCCTTGCCAAAAGTTTCTGCACCTTCTCCTGACCCGGCGATCCAGAACTGCCCGGGAGAGCAGGCCAAGCCCAGGAGCAAGAAGAAACCCAGCAAGTGCTCGAGCAGCAGCCTGCTGATGGGCGACTGCCGGCGCGGCTACGTGCGCGAGTGGTCGCACCCCTGCACCGAGTGCGGGAAGCGTTTCCGCCTGAAGATCAACCTCATCATCCACCAGCGGAGCCACGCCAAAGAAGGGCCCTACGAGTGCACGGTGTGCGAGATCAGCTTCACAGACAAAAACCGCCTGGTCCTGCACCAGGCCATCCACACCCAAGACAGGGCTTTTGCGGCCAAGGTTTGGGGGAACACGCACCCGGAACTGAGGATAGGGCCGAGGAAGAAGCTGTGCAGGGCTCCCGGCAGCTCTGCCCACAGCCTGGGTAACAGGACGCACGCGGGGGGAGCCTGGCTGGGCCCGACCAAGGAGGAGCAGGACACGGGCAGCCTGTCGGGGTGTTTCTCCCCGCAGACGACGCTTCGCAATTACGCCAGACGCCCCCTGAAATGCGATCTTTGCGGTAAGTTTCTGTCTTGCTCCTCGAACCTCCAGCGGCACCTGCAGACCCACTCGGAGAAGAGGCCGTTCCGCTGCCCCACCTGCAAGAAGGGCTTCACCCGCCACACTCACCTGGTGCGCCACGAGCAGATTCACGAGAGGCAGAAGGCCCTGGAGGGCCGGCAGCACAAGGCAGCCTAGGGCTCGACCGCGGCCAGGAGGCCGCAGCCCAAAGCAGCCCCGGGGGTGCCTGGCGAGGCACCGTCCTCGCTGCTGCCAAAGCTGCTCCGCTGAAAACCTCCTGGTGGCTGCTGTGGAGCTCAGGCTTGCAGTTACCAGACTGATAAAACAGCCCGGCTTGGGAGAGGCCCACAAAGATCCTCGAGGCCAACTCGAGAACTGCTGCTGTGACAGTGGAGAGTAGGAAGTAGGGAAGCAGCCTGGGGGCAAGTGGCAACAGGAGGGATCCAAATCGCTCGTGTCCCTGGGCAGGAGCTGTGAGCGTTCAGATTCCGTCCATGGTGGGGTACCAGGGCTGTGAACCATCATCCATCAGCTGGATTTCAGGAGCTTTCCCAAGTGGCAGAATAAATCAAAGCTTGGACCCCGTTACGTGGAACAAATTCCAGAAGCCTCCAGCGATTAAAAATTTGCTTTGCTATTCCTCAAACTCGTGCCTGCTGGGTGATGCACGGGACTGCCCAAAGTGACCCAGCAGACAGCTCACCCCGTGTGTGTGGTGCTGAAGCTGAGAGCTTCATTTTGGAAACACAATTACACAGTGAAGAGGACAGAGGGAAGCAGACGGACAGACCAGAGTGGGTTCCAGAGGAGCTTCTCACTTCCCTGATGGTTCTTGACCAAGGCACCAGGCAGAGAGAGCGGCGTCTCGGATCGTCCTTGTCGGGTGCCCCGTCCTGCTGGGGACATCTGCCACGCAGGGACCTCCTCGGGAACAGCTCTGGGAGATAAGGAGAGCGAAACAACCCCCACCTTCTGTCTGTGTGATGCTGCTGCTGTTCCTGAGGTCCCGGCACCATTCCACTGACAAGGCCAGCCTCCAAAACCCTGTATGAGAGGGTTTGTGCCCCAAAACCAGCCTGCGCCCACGGTCACTTTTACAAATACTCGCTGGGTAGGATTCCTGCTGCACCACAGCCTGTGCGAGGACCCTTCCTCGGGGCTCGGACGCGTTGTTCTGACACCACCCCAGCTGCTCTGTGCGGGACCATCCCCTCTGCTCAGCCCCACTGCGCCGTGCTCGCTCCCTCTGTCACTAATCACATGGAAGCCTACCTCAACGCGCCGTGGAGGGGCAACCTGGTGGGTGATGCCAGCCGAGGCTCTGGTGGCCCCAAGCATCACTGGAAGCTCGTGGCCCCGTCCCAGCCCCGTGTGCAGCAGGCACGCCGCTGGGAAGCACGAGGCACGCGTACGGAGTGAAGGAATCGGTCCAGGCCAAGCGGAGGGGCTGATAGGACTCCCGAGCTGTTTTATTTTATTTTTTTGCTTTGTGTCCATTGAATTATTTGATGTTCTAGTTTGAAATCACTACGTCTCTGCCCCTCTCCGGGCAGGGAGTGTTGGGAACCAGTTTCCTTAGGAGATTTTTAATTCCTGGCTGCCTGCAGGGTCCGAGGGGCTGCGAAGCCCTGCGGGACGTGGGTGGTTGGTGCCGGGAGGTGATGGGGCCGGCATCCAGCCGCTTACCCCTGCCCAGTTTGCCATCCCAGTGCTCCCAATTGATCCCAGTTGATCCCAGTACCACAGGGTACGAGTCAAGCCAGCGCAGCGGGCAGCCGGGAGGTGGCTTCGAGCTGTGACTGGGACCAACTTTATTTTGTAGGAACGCTCCCATCCCTTTCTCAGGCCGTGGAATCCATAAAGTATTTGTCTGTAGGGCCCAGTGGTGTTTGTTTTATACGCAGCGCCACGCAACGAAGGCGGGCACGGGGTGAGAGGGGCTGCGCCAGGCTGGGGCCACCGGCCCTGGGGGGAGCCTGGGTGGCACCAGGGGAGCTGTGGGGTGCCGAGGGGACGGGGACGGCGTCGCCATGGTGTCATGGCCGCCCTTGGGTGTCATGGCTGCCTTTGGGTGTCATGGCTGCCCTTGGGTGTCATGGCCGCCCTGCCCCGCCCCTCGTGGCGGCCATCTTGTGTGTGGGCAGAGCCCCAAAGTGGGTGGGGCCATGTGGAGGGGGTGTGGCCATTGGTGGGTGGGGTTATTGGGAGGGGGCGGGGCTTGTGGCAGAGGCCACGCCCACATCATCACCATGGCAACCTCTGGCCTGGGCGATGTCCCCAGGGTGTCCCCTGGGGTGTCCCCAGGGTGTCATTGTCACCTTTTGTATCCCCAGGGTGTCTCCAAGGTGTCCCCAGGAAGCCATGGCCCCTTCCTTTATCCCTGAGGTGTCCCCAAGGTCTCAGTGTCCCCTCCTTCCTACCTGGGGTGTCCCCAGGGTGTCAGCGTCCTCTTCTTCATCCCCAAGGTGTCCCTAGGGTGTCCCCAAGAAGCCATGGCCCTCTCTTTCATCCTTGGGGTGTCCCCAGGGTGTCATTGTCACCTCCTTTATCCCCAGACTGTCTCCAAGGTGTCCCCAGGGTGTCCCTGGGGTGTCCCCAGGATGCCATGGCCCCCTCCTTCATACCTGAGGTGTCCCCAAGGTGTCCGTGTCCCCTCCTCCGTCCCCAGGGTGTCAGCATCCCCTCCTTCATCCCTGGGGTGTCCCCAGGGTGTCATTGTCACTTTCTTTACCCCCAGTGTGTCACTGCGGTGTCCCCAGGACGCCATGGCCCCCTCCTTCATACCCGGGGTGTCCCCAAAGTGTCCATGTCCCCTCCTCCATCCCCAGGGTGTCAGTGTCCCCTCCTTCACCCCAAGGTGTTCCCAGGAAACCATGGCCCCCTCCTTCATCCCTAAGGCATCCCCAGGGTGTCTCCAAGGTGTCCCCGGGGTGTCAGTGTCCCCTCCTTCATCCCCAAGGTGTCCCCTGAATGTCCCCAAGCACGCCGTGGCCCCCTCCTTCATCCCTGGGAAGGAGCCTTCATCCCCTGCACCCCCTGAAGGCCGCTGTGAGGTCTCCCCGCAGCCTTCTCCTCTCCAGGCTGAGCAACCCCAACCCCTCGGCCTCTCCTCCCAGCAGAGCTGCTCCAGCCTCTGAGCATCCCCGTGGCCTCCCCTGGACTCCAGCAGCTCCACGTCCCGGTGCTGGGGGCCCCGCAGCGAAGGCAGTGCTCGGGGGGGGGGGTGTCTCACGAGAGCGGGGCACAGGGGGACAATCCCTTCCCTCACCCTGCTGGTTTCTGGGCCACAGGCGCACACGGTGCTGGGACAGGACCGAAATCACAAAACCTGGGCCAGGGGAGGAGGAGGAGGAGGAGGGCAGATAAGGCTTTGTGGTGCAAATTCCCTCCCAGAGCCACAATTCCTGGCTGAATGGGGCTGGGAGTGGGGGCTCCGCATGGCCACGGGGCAGCTCCTGCATTTCCCTGGCGCAATTCCTGCATTTCCCTGGGGCTGGGCGAGGGCACCCGTGCAGGGTGGGCACACCAATGTCACAATTCCCGTGGCATCACCCCCACAACTCCCTCGGTGGGGGCTGTTGGAGGCGGCGCGGCACCAGCCGACACACGAAGCCCGGCATCAGACCACATCATCTTTTATCCACAGCTCTCCCCAGCCCTGCGGTGACCCCGGCTGTCCCAGCAGCCTGTCCCCGGGCCACCCAACTCCCCCAAAACCGGGCAGGATTTCAGGAACCCTGAGTTCGAGCGCTCCGCTCCCCGTCCCACGGCGCCGGACACGCAGCAGCCACATCTCAGCCGTGCCCCCTTCCACGGCACAGCCCCTGCTGCCGGACCTCCTCCTCTTGCTCTCGCCCCCGCAGCGTGTCAGCCACCCCCGGGGACGTGGTGGGGGGCTGCGGGGAGCCCCACGGTGCCACCTGCCCGCCGTGTGCCACCCTCACGGGCCGCTGCACCTCTCCGCCTGCAGAAACGCTGCCCCTTCCCAACCACAACCCTCATTTTACGGATTGTCCTGCGTCGACGGCTTGCAGGGCACAGCCCCCGGCTCCTGGCCGCGGCCGGGCACGCCGGCAGCAGGAGGGCTGGCGGCGGCGTGGACCTTCTGGTGATGGTTCAGGGACTGCCGGTGGCGAAAGCTCTTGCTGCAGCCGCTGCACTGGAAGGGCCGCTGCTGCGTGTGCCGGCGCTGGTGCTCCTCCAGCGACGCTTGCAGGGGGAAGCTCTCGGCGCACTCGATGCAGCGGTACAGCCGCTCCCCGGCCCCGCCGCCCCGCGCCGGCCGGCCCGCCCAGCCCGCCCGCAGCTGCACCCCGTGGATGCGCTGGTGCTTCTGCAGGTGGTGCTTCTGGATGAAGCCCTTGCCGCAGGCCGGGCAGCAGTAGGGCCGCTCGCCGGTGTGGATGCGGTAGTGCTTGTTGAGGTTGGACTTCTCGTTGAAGCTCTTGCCGCAAGCCGGGCACTGGAAGGGGCGCTCGCCCGTGTGCAGGCGCTGGTGCCGCAGCAGCGCGGCGTGGTGAGCCAGGCTCTTCCCGCAGGCGGTGCAGATGAAGGAGCCGTTGCTCTTCCTCGCCTGGCTCTGCTGCCGCGCCAGGAGGCTGCGCTTTCAGCCGCACGCTCTTCCAGCCCAAGGGCAAGCCGTGGGGCTCGTCCCCGGTGCCGCACGGACCGTGCTCCTCGGCGCCGGGCTGTGCCGAGGCAGCCTCCGCAGGCACTGTCCTCTCCCAGCGGCAGCCCCTGGGGCAGGGTGAAGGGCTGCTCGGTCCCCGCGCCGTGCCCGTGTTCCGCCGGGAAAGGCAAAGCCCCCGGGGCAGGGCGAGCTTCCAGCGGGACGACCACGGGCTTGAATTCAGGCTGGGCGGCTCCGTGCTTGCAGAGCTCCCCTAAACCCTCTCCAGCTCCCTTCTGTTCGTCCAAGCTGCTGTGGCTCTCCCAGGGCACCGGCAGCTCCTGGCTCAGGGGAACCTCCTCTTCCAGCCTCATCGAGGGAGCCTGCGGCAGGGCCAGGCTTTCCGATCCTTCCTCCTGCGGCTGCTGCTCTTCTGTCTTGATCACGATCTTCTCACCTGCTGGGAGACAGCAATTATTCATTCCTAGCCAAGGAAAGCTCTCCCGTGCCTCTGGCCCCAGCGCAGGAGCAGGAGCTGAGCTTCCCCTGCAGCACCTTGGTGAGACCAAGCAGCAAACGTGCCACTAGAGAGGGAGCAGGAGGGTTTTACCGCGAGCAAAGAGGAGAAGAACAAGAGGTGGAAGGATGCTGGCGTCTGCTGGGGGTTATCTGGTCACCTTGGGGGACATTCAAGGGCCTGACAATGCCATAGTCGTAAAGAAGCCAAAAGAGAGGAAAACACGAGGGCTTTTGTAATTGTTCCACAAAAAGTTGGGGCTGCCGAGTCCTCTGTCCTGGAAGGAACTTTGTCGGGAATTTACAGCAGGGTTTACCTGGGTAAATGCGGGGCAAAGGACCAAAGCTCCCTTCCAGGAGCAGGACCGAGCTTGTCTGCAGGCAAGCAGGCGCAGAGCCACGCTCACGCTAAGCCCTGCCCGGGCTTTTTCCACTCTCTCAGTATTTCTGGGCTTGGACATTTGGCGTGGCTCCTTTCGGATTTCTTTCCCCCCTGCGGCACTGCTTTTCCTCCTCAGCCCTCAATTTCCATCCCCTGGCCCAGCCGAGCTGCGTGCAGCCCTTCCCCACCCCCAGGCCCTCTCCGTGGTGGTGTTCACGCCATCGTGGCTGCCCGAACTCACCGCCACCGACGTGCCCTGACACCGCTCCCTTCTCCAGCAGCCCGTGGGTCCTGGTCCCCAAATCCTCCCCGTCCTCGGCCGGCAACAGCAGAGAGGGTTTGGAGCTGGCGTCCCCGGGCCCTAGGGGAGGAAGCGGCCGTGCCAACGGTTGATGCCGGGCGCTGGCACCACAGCCCCTGGGACAAAGCTGCTCCGGCACAGCCGGGTGTGGTGGAGGGAAGGTGACAAAGAGTCCGAGACGTGCAGCAGGGACTGATCCTTACCAAGAGAGACCACGGCCTCGTAGCTCCCCTTCACCGCCATCCTGTACAGCTCCTGCTGCCGGCTGTCCAAGCCGCCCCACTCCTGCTCCGGCAAGCAGGCGGCGTCATCCTCACCCGCTGTGGGGACCTGAAACGGCAGGAGGCACCCCCTTAGTCACCCCTTAGCACCTCCCTGCCCCCACAAAGTGCCCTGATCCCCCCCCCCGTGTGCTCTGGGCTGGCACAGTGAGGGTGCGGAGCTCCTGCGTGTCCCAGCCTGAGCTCAGGGAACAATCCCAAAGCAGCAGAACGATGCCTCCCCTGCTCAGACACCTCGCCCCTAGCAGCCAGGAGGTTTGCATGGGGCTTGTCCCCGTTACCTGGGGCACGTCCCCTGTTTCCCAGGGCTCATCCCCATTCTGTGGGGCTTGTCCCCATTACCTGGGGCTTGTCCCCTGATCCCCAGTGCTCACCCCTGTTCCCTGGGGCATGCCCCCATTCCCTGGTGTTTGTCCCCAATACCTGGGGCTTGTCCCCCATTCCCCAGGGCTCATCCCTGTTACCTTGGGCACATCCCCCATTCCTTGGTGTTTGTCCCCAATACCTGGGGCTTGTCCCCCATTCCCCAGCGCTTGTCCCCATTACCTGGGGCACGTCCCCTGTTACCTGGGGCACGTCCCTCGTTCCCCAGGGGCTTGTCCCCATTACCTGGGGCACATCCTCCATTCCCCGGGGCTCATCCCCATTCCCTGGGGCTCATTCCCATTCCATGGGGCTCATTCCCATTACCTGGGGCACCTCCCCCGTTCCCCGGGGGCTTGTCCCCCGTTACCTGGGGCACGTCCCCGCCGGGCCCCATGCCGGGCCGAGGTGCCCAGCATCCGCGGTGCCTCAGCTGGCGCTCGACGTGCTCGAGGCGCCTCGTGCTCTCCTGCAGGAGGGCGGCCAGGGCGGCCCACTTGCGCTCCAGCTGCCCCCCGAAATCCAGCACCGCCTTCTCCAGCTCCGACAGCTTCTTCTCCGCCGTCTCCGCTCGCCCTTCCAGGCTCAGCAGCCGCAGGGCCTGCGTCTCCACCTTCCTCTCCACCGCCTGCACCGCCGCCACCACCGTCCACAGCGAGATTTCGGCCACCCCCGGCTGCTTCTCGCCCTCGACGGCCACCGGCACCGCCACCGGCACCGCGACGTGGCCGGGGGGCTGCGGCGGGACCGGCTGCCAGGGCTCGGGCCCCCACTCGGGCTCCTGTTAGCGGGGAGAGAAAGGAGTCAGGGTCCAAGGGGGGGGTCCTCCGAGGGTGGGCAGCACCCTAGGGACCCCCCCGTCCCCCTGTCCCCCTCCTCGTAGCACCCCCCAGGCCTCCCACCCCCACCCCGGGGTGCGGCGAGCACCGGGCTGCGGCCAGGGCCGGTCCCCGCCGCCCAGAGGAGGAAGGGACAGGGGGAAATGGGGAGGTTTGGGGGGGTTTTGGGGGTTATGGAGCCGCCTCCGCCCGGTGCCCGGTGCCCCCCGTACCTGAGCCGGGCCCCACCGGGCCATGGCCGCCCCTCGCCGCCGCCGCCTCCGCACCACGGCGCCGCCTGGCGGCCCGCCCGCAGCACGGCCCCGGGCCTGGTTCTCCTCACAGACCCCCCCTCAAGGCCCGGGACCCCCGGCCCCTCCTTCCCACAGCCCCCCCCAAAGTGCTTCGGGGCTGAAAAGTCCCGGCCCCCTGGTCCCCCCAGCCCAGTTCTCCCCAGTTTCAGTCAGCCCCGTTCCCAGTTCCCCCCCCCTTCCAGTTCCCAGACCCCACACGCACAGCAGCCCAAGGACCCCCCCAGCCCCAAACCACCCCGGTCCCAGAACTTCCCCACACGTTCTTGGAGCCCTTCCACACATTTTAAGGTCCCCCCCGTCCCAAACCCTCCATTTCCACAGCACCCCAAGTCCCCGATCCCTCCTCATACCCCCCATTGTCCCATCCCTCCCCGACCCCCCAACCCCTGATCCCTCCCCATATCCCCCAGCCCCTAATCCCTCCCCATAACCCCCCCAGACCCCGATCCCTCTCCATATCCCCCAGCCCCTATTCCCTCCCCAATACCCCGTTCCTGATCCCTCCCTGACCCCCCCATCCCCTGATCCTCCCCATACCCCCAGCCCCTAATCCCTACCCAATACCCCATCCCTGATCCCTCCCTGACCCCCCCAGCCCGATTCCTCCCCATAACCCCCAATCCCTGATCCATCCTCCATATCCCCCAGCCCCTAATCCCTCATACCCCCAACCCCTGATCCCTCCCCGACCCCCCAACCCTGAACCCTCCCCATATCCCCCAGCCGATTCCTCCCCGTATCCCCCAGCCCCAATCCTTCCCCATATCCCTCAGCCCCTAATCCCTCATACCTCCCCTAGCCCCTAATCCCTCCCCATAACCCCCCCAGACCCCGATCCCTCACCATACCCCCCATACCCTGATCCCCCCGCAGATTTGAGGCCGAGAACAGCCCAGCATGTGCCGTCCTGTCACCCCCCCAGCACACACCACGGGGCCGAGTGGCTCCTGCTCTTTATTCCAGCCCCACCGCTGCCCCACGCCGTGGGGGGTGAGGAACCGTGGGGCCACGGCCCGCAGGATGAAGGCACACAGGGAAAGTCACGGCGGAGACCCCGCTGGCACTGCGGGAGCCCCCTCTGCACATTTCATCCGCCAGAACCCGACCTGGCCGCTCCCGCCGCTTTCACACTTTTCCCCAAAAAATTATTTCCCCATCAGCATCCCATCCAGCTCTTCGGCTCCAAAATCACAGAACTGTAGGGATTGGAAGGGACCTCGGAAGATCATCGGGTCCAATGTCCTCTTACTCCCTTCGGTGACTTCCAGAAATGGGGGAAAGACCCCGCACCAGTGCTTGCAGCCCCCCCCGGCTGCCCACCCGTGCTGGGACCTGACCCCAGCCTGGCAGAGCAGCACCACGGGGATGCTGCGGTCCCACGGGGGCTGATAGCAGCACGACAGAGCCACGTTCAGCTGTCAGAGCAAACATTTCCACGTTTGCCATCTACCCACACCTCCAGCCAGAGGAGTCCTTCACCTAAACCAGGTCCTCGCCCCCCGGCAGAGGCTCCTCGGGCACAAAGAGCCGCCGGGTACAGGCGTGCTGGGCAGGGCGAGCTGCAGCCAGGTTGCCCAGGGCTCGTGGCCAAGGAGAGGGGGGAGAGAGGGGACAGCAGCAGCCCTCCACCCTTGGAAACGACCCCCGTGCTCATAACCCGAGCTGGAAGGGACCCACGAGGCTCATCGAGTCCAGCTCTGACCCTTCCCTCCCGCTACGTCTCCTCCTTCACACCCCCCGTGCCTAAATAGGTGCCACGGGCAGAGGCAGCTTGTTCCTGCACTCGTAGGGGCTCTCCCTCCTGGAGTGGGTTTTTTGGTGCCCGGCTAGGTGCTCGTGCTGCTTGAAGGCTTTCTGGCACTCCCCGCACCAGTAGGGCCGCTCGGCCTGGGGGAACAGCTCGGAGGCCCAGACAAAGCTCCTGTTGCAGCAGGCGCAGAGGGTGAAGTGGTGCAGGTCGGCGTGCATCCCCTGGTGCAGCATCAGGAAGTTCTGGCTGGAGAAGTTCTCCATGCACTCGCTGCACGTGTACATGATTTTCTGGGGCGACAGCGGGCACCGGTTGGGGCTGGGCTTCTCCCACTGCGCCGCCGCCGCGGCGCCGCTGCCCTGGGCACGGGGCTGGGCGGCCGGGCAGGGGGGTTTGCCGGCGCGCTCCTTGGCGTCGGAGGGGGGGCAGAACCCCGTGGCCGCCCGGATCCGTAGGTGCCGCCTGATTTTCTTCTTGGACATGAAGGCCTGGTTGCAGTCGACGCAGACGTAGGGCACCCAGTTGCTGTGGCTCCGCTGGTGGATGATGAGGTTGATTTTGAGCAGGAAATTCTTCCCGCACACGACGCACCTGTAGAACTTCTGCCGGGAGGAGCTGCGCTGGCAGCTCGCCGTCCTGCCCTTGCAGGCGCTCTCCACCACCAGTTTTTCTGGGCAAGGCGACCGGGTGGCTGCGATCCGTGCACGCCGCTGCTCGGCAGAGACCCGGGATCGGCTCCCTGTCCAGCTCCTTGGGCACAGCTGCCACCAGGTCCTGGCCACCGCTCGCCGCGTCCTTCAGCTCCTCCTTCTGCAGCCCCTCCAGCGGCCGTTCGGGCACCGCCAGCTCCTCCGCAGCAACCTCCTCCCGCGGGATCTCTGTCGGGATCCCCACATCAGCACCTGCTGGAAATGTTTGCAGAAGCTGAGCATCACTCTTCCGCTCGGTTTTGAGGACAAGGCATAAAGATTCGGGGCTTTTCCCATGCCTGCCCACCCGGGAGCTGCTATGAATGGCAGCACCAAACCCCCCTTCACGCCGGGACCACGGTGTGGGTACACGCAGGGCATGGGTACAGAGACACCCCTGGGTGGCTTGGCATGACAAAATACTGCTGAGGATGGGAAGAACCCAACAGATTCGTCAGGGATTCGCAAATGTGGGCTGGTTCACACCTGGCAACAGGATTTACTCTCAGAGCCCCATCTCGGCTATCAAAATTCATAGAATCGTGGAATATCCCGAGCTGGAAGGGACCCACAAGGAAAATCGAGTCCAACTCCTGGCACCGCACAGATCTACCCAAAAATTCAGACCTATGACTGAGAGCACAGTCCAAATCCCATCCCAAAAGCCCCCCCAAAGCTCCCGGGTGCCGTGCTCCTTGAGACCCCAGCCCCCGGCCGGGATGAGGGGGGGGCTCTGCCCAGTACCTGCCGCAGGGGGGGGAGATGGAGGCGGCCTCAGGTTCACCACGTCACGGCAGCACGTGGAGATGGGGCAGGGCGCAGAGGGGCCCGGCGAGCTGAGCTCCATTGGGGTGCCAACAGCTTCATGAAGGACACGAGCTGCAAGGGCAGAAGCAGGAATTAGGGCAGCGGGTGGGACACGGGCAGGGCCTGGGGTCCCTCATACGGTGGTCTCGCCGGGCACTCACGTGTGCTGCGGTCCGGGGTGGCCACTGGGCTCCTGCTGCCCTCGCGGGACTCCTTCGCCTCCTCCTGCACAGCTCCATCGCTCACGGAGCCGGGAGAGCCGGGTTCTGGGGGAAGAAGGGGATTTGGGGTCAGCAGCAGCTGCCGGGGTCCCCCCCAGGGCATCGGCTCTGCTGCACCAGGGGAGGTCCTGGCAAACAGAAGGAGCCCCCCCAGTGTCACCCACCTGCGGCTGGCTCTGGGGGCACCGCCTCTCCGTCCCGCTGCGGCTCCGGGGACACGCACGGCTCTTCTTCCTTCTCAATCCGAGACAAGAGCTCGGGTTTGGCGAGGTCGCAGTCTGTTCGAGGGCAAAAACAGGGATCAGGGGCGAGGCGCGACTGATTTGGGCACCCCACAACCTCTCACGTGCACAGCCCCTGCCCACCAAAAGCTCGTCCCCCCCACTGCGGCGCTGCGCAGATTTAGGGGCGCACAGGAACCGGCAGGGAGATCTACGGGGGCACCCTTTGGGTTTTCTGACGCCCCCCCAAAAACAGCCACAAGGAAATCCATGGGGTGCGTGGGGTGTCACCGTGTAGGGTGCAGAGCGCTCACACCCATGCGCATGCCCCGAGGGGAACGGTGACCGCTGAGAAATCCCTGATTTGGGGTGCTGAGATTTGGGGTGCTGAGTTTTGGGGCGCTGAGTTTTGGGGCGCTGAGTTTTGGGGCGCTGAGATTTGGGGCGCTGAGATTTGGGGCAGGGCCAAATTTCGGGTCACCCCCGTGGGCTCCCAGCGCCGTGCGCCTTTCGCAGTGGGGTTCTGGAAGGGGGAGCACGCCCACCGTGCCCGCAGGAGACCCCACAGACATCCCCCAAATTCTGCTCGCTGCCGGGGGGGGGGACAAGAAATGGAGCAGATTTTTTTTTTTTTTTTTTTTTTTTTTGTGGGGGGGAAATGGGGGCGGAGATCCCAACGAAAGGGAAAGGAAAGGAACCCGTCGGGACCGGCCCTACACAGGGACACCAGCATCTCGTAGCTGCCCCGCATCACGCTCCGGTACAGCTCCTTCTGCCCGTGGTCCAGGAGGGCCCACTCCTGGTGGCTGAACTGCACCGCCACGTCCTCGAACGTCACCGGCACCTACGGGCGCAGTGACCCCATAAGGCTGAGCCCCCAGCCCCCTCGAGCACCCGCTCAGCCCACAAAGATCCCATAAGCAGCCCCCTGGCTCCTCCCCATCCCCACAAAGACACGAAGTAACTCCCCCAGCCTCACCCCCATTCCCACAAAGACCCCATAAAGCAGCTCCCATGGCTCTCCCCCATCTGCCACAAAGACCCCATCAGCAGCCCCTGGCTTTCCCCCATCCCCACAAAGACCCCATAACCATCCCCCAGCCTCCCCCCCGACCCCACAAAGACCCCATAACCACTCCCCCGGCTAATCCCCTGAACCCCACAAAGACCCCGTGACCACTCCCCCCGACCCTCCTGCCCCCACAAGACCCCATAACCACCCCCCCGACTCCACAAAGACCCCATAACCACCCCCTGACCCCACGAAAAAACCCATAACCACTCCCCTGACCCCCCCCGAGTCCCCCCACCCCAACAAAGACCCCATAATCACCCCCTCAACCCCATAAAGACCCCATAACCACCCCCCCGCCTGCCTCCCACCCCAACAAAGACCCCATACCACCCCCCCGACCCTAAAAGACCCCATAACCACCCCCCCGACCCCACAAAAACCCCATAACCACTCCCCCGACCCCCCCTGCCCCCACAACGACTCCATAACCCCCCCTGCCTCCCCCCACCCCCACAAAGACCCCATAACCAACCCCCCCACCCCCACAAAGCCCCCATAACCACCCCCCCTAACCTCACAAAGACCCCACAAAGACCCCATAACCCCCCCTGCCTCCCCCCTACCCCCACAAAGACCCCATAACCACCCCCCTAACCCCACAAAGACCCCACAAAGACCCCATAACCACCCCCCAGACCCCACAAAGCCCCCATAACCACTCCCCCGACCCCCCCCCCCACAAAGACCCCATAACCACCACCCCCGCCCCCACAAAGACCCCATAACCCCCCCTGCCTCCCCCCTACCCCCACAAAGACCCCATAACCACCCCCCCTAACTCCACAAAGACCCCACAAAGACCCCACAACCAACCCCCCCCACCCCCACAAAGCCCCCATAACCACCCCCCTAACCTCACAAAGACCCCACAAAGACCCCATAACGCCCCCTGCCTCCCCCCTACCCCTACAAAGACCCCATAACCACCCCCCCAACCCCACAAAGACCCCACAAAGACCCCATAACCACTCCCCCGACCCCACAAAGCCCCCACAAAGCCCCCATAACCACCCCCCCGCCCGATCCATACCGAGGGCAGCCGCAGCCCCCCGGCTCCCCCATCCCTCAGCGCCTCCTCGGCCCTCTCCAGCCGCCTCTCCAGGGCCTGGATGCGGGCGTTCAGCCCCTCCATCACCCCCCACCCCCCCCGGGAACGGCCCCGACGGGACCCCCACGGGACGGGACGGGACGGGGCGGCCCCGGGGGGCGGCCCCGGCCACCTCCCCCCCCCCCCTCTCCCGGTCCCCACAGCGGCCCCCGCCGGACGGGCGGAGCCGAGCAGCGACCCCGGGAGGGAGATGGCGACCCCCGGACTGAGAGGGGGGGTGGGGGGGGCTCACGGAGGGTCTCAGGGGTGGTTTTTTGGGGCAAAAAGGGCAAATTTAGGCGGATTTTAGCCCATCTCCCCCGGGGCCAGCGGGAGGGCTGAGGGAGCGGGAGCCCCCCCTTTGGGGTCCCTCAGCCCCCCAGCTGCCCCCCGGCTGCCTCCTCCTTTTTATTCAGGTGATTGACAGCTGTCAATCACCCTCTGCCTCTCCTCGAGGCCGCCGGCCGGCAGGGGACGCTGTGGGGGACGGCGACAGCCCCCGGGGGTGGGGGGGGACACCGGGGGGGGGGTCCAGGTGCGGCGGAGGCTCCGGGAACGGTGCAGGTAGGGCCCGGTCCCTGTCCTTGTCCCCATCCCGGTCCCGGTGTCCCCCATCGGGCAGGGAGAAGCCATTCCCGGTGTCCCCCCACCCCCTATTTTAGGGTACCCCCCCGGTCCCGGTGTCCCCCCCCCCCCTATTTTAGGGTACCCCCCCGGTCCCGGTGTCCCCCCACCCCCTATTTTAGGGTACCCCCCCGGTCCCGGTGTGTCCCCCCCCCCCCCCTATTTTAGGGTACCCCCCCGGGTCCCGGTGTGTCCCCCCCCCCCCCCTTTTTAGGGTACCCCCCCGGTCCCGGTGTGTCCCCCCCCCGTCGGGGATTTAAAGATTTAAAGCTTTAAAGCCCCGGTCCCTCTGTGCCGAGCTCCCACCGCTTCCCCTCTCCCCCCCCCCCAGCAGCCCCAAGCACGGGTGGGGGATCCCCACGGTGTGTGTGTGTGTCCTCCACCCCAAAAATTAAAAAAAAAAAATAATAATAATAAAAAAAATAAAAATTAAAAAAAAAAACACCGCTTCCCCTCTCCATCCCCAGCAGCCCCAACACGGGTGGAGGATCCCCACGGTGTGTGTGTGTCCCACCCCAAAAAATAAAAAAAAAAATAAAAAAAATTAAAAAAAAATAATAAATAATAATAATTAAAAAAAAAACACCGGGGGCATGACCTCCCCGCCCCCACCCGGTCCCCTCTGCCCTCCGGGCCCCCCCATCTCGCTGTGGACGGTGGTGGCCGCGGTGCAGGCGGTGGAGAGGAGCCTGGAGGCGCACGGAGCCCGGCTGCTGGGGCTGGAGAGGAGGACGGGGAAGGCGGAGAAGAAATCCGTGGACTGCCAGAGGACGGTGGTGGATTTCGGCAAGCGGCTGGAGAGCAAGCTGGCCCTGCTGGGCACCCTCGTCCAGGAGTACGGCCACCTCCAGCAGCGCCTGGAGAGCGTGGAGAACCTGCTGAGGAACGGGAACCTCTGGGTGCTGCGCCTGCCCCCCGATCCCCGCGGAGAGGTGCCCAAGGTGAGGCTCGTTGTCACCGTCACATCGCGTTGTCACATCCCAGCAGGGCCTTCAGGTGCTGAACGGGTGCTGTAGGACAAGGGGGGGTCCCCAAGCCCCTTAATTTCCCCGAGCGCATCGGGTTGTGCAGGGGGTGCTGCCCCGTGGTGCTGCCCTGCGCCACGAGCGGCTGAATCTCACTGGCAAAGGACAGGCTGTTACCTTCCGCAATACACAAGAACTTTTTTTTCCCCTGAAAATGACACCAAAGTGTTATAAATGGCTCAGGATTCAAATTAGGATTAAATAAAAAAAATAGGATTTATTAGAAGAATATAAAGGAATAGAGGTAAGCAAACAGCGCTGGGTGCACCGGGAGTCTCCGCTCCACCAGGACGCACACCAGTTATATCAAGCAGCTGATTTTTATGCTCCTAGACTAATACATATTCATTACTACTTCTAAAAAAAATAGATTATTATAATTAGCTTCCAGGGTCCAGTCCCTCCTACTGGAGCATGCACATCAGTCTCCTCTGGGGGTCTCTAGGGGTCTTTCATGCTGAAGGCTCGTAGTCTTCCTCTCCCCTTTGTACTCACTCGGCACTATTCCAAGTTTATGGAACACTCTCTGTACACTCTCTGCAGGTCTTGTCTCCCAACCGTCCTTCAGCTTCTTTTTCCTTCCTCTTAATCTCTTGGCCCCCCGGCCAGATACCAAGGATCCTCATAGTATCCCATAACAGTCACTAGTTGTTATCAGCTGTTCTGAAACTCCCAGACATCAAACACAAACAGCTTTCTTATTTGACGCTTCACGAGTAATTAAAACATTCTTCCCCAGCCATTCACAGACACATCTATAGCAGTGTTAAGTTAATCTCGAAGAAGACAGGAAAAAAAAGGCTGTAACTGTTAGAAATAAAAGTCCGGAATAACCAAAGCAAACAGGTTCATAAATTTAAGGAGTGTTTTCTGAAGACGTGATAAATTGACTAGAATGAGGGGGAGACTGGGACACACTGCATCTGTGGTTCAAGAATTAAATTGCCGGTGCAGGGCCCAGAGGCAGACAGGATTCAAACAGAATTGTTCTTTATGGACACGAATTGTTAACACATTCCTCACAAAAGTATACGGATTACCTTTATTATGGGGGGTAGAAACATCGATTATTCACAGAATTAGCACAAATTAACCAAGTTATTCCTACTAAACCTCCTCAGCCTTACTCTCATCGTATCATAATTCCCCCCGACAGGATTTCTTCTCTCTTTTCAGCACCTCATCTATTGTAGCAGTAAAAAAGAAATAGAAATGCAGAAGTTTTCTTCCCCTGGTGCTGTGAGCACAGCAGAGGGGTCTCCCCGAACCGGAGCGGGTGCTGAATTTGTGACCTCTACTCTTGCAGGCTCCAGAAGGGTTCGACAGCAGCGCCGCCGGCTTCTCCGAGCCGGAGTGGGAGAACCTGGAGGAATGGCAGAGGGAGCTGTACAGAAACGTGCTGAGGGGGAGCGGCGAGTCTCTGATCTCTCTGGGTAAGATGAGCTCTGTTTCGGGGGGCTTCTTCCCACACCCGGGAGCTGAAGCTGTGGAAACACGGCGAAGGCTGTGCCCGCTGCTGCGGCCACGTCACGTCCAGCCCCGCGGTGGCCAGGACTCCTTGAGGTGGGCACTGGCTGCCGTCACCTCCAGAGGCTGCTCCGTGCCAAGCGCAGCCCGCAGACCCCTTCCCTGAGGTCCCCAGATGTTTTCTGCATCAGGGCTGGCTGCCCGAGCCAAAAGCCACCGTATTTCGGTGAGCCCTGCAGTGGGGTCTCACCAAATGGTGTTTTGAAGGTAATTTCTCTGTGCCTCGACAGATTACGCCGTCTCCAAACCCGACCTCCTGTCCCGGCTGCAGAGAGAGGTGCGCTGCGATGAGGTGGATTTGGGAGAGAGGGAGATTCGTGTGGAGCCGAGCGCAGGCAAGGAATGAACTGATTGCGGGTTATTCCTTGGGGATGGTGTTGGGTGGTGGTGGTCCTGATTTGCTCTCGCAGGGACTTCTCGGGTCTTAGGAGGAGCAAGTCCCAGGGGTGTAATAGCGTTAGAAAACATTTAATGGGTTTGATCTTTCCCGTTAGCAGAATCTCTGGTGTTTAGACCTGATGCAAGCAGCCAGGACACTAAAGGAGGCGTGCAGTGCCCGGCAGGACAGGAGAACCTGGAGGCAAAAGCAGTGCTGGCAGAGCCCACAGCCGGTGAGTGCTGTTCTGGAAGAGCTTGGACACAACGGCAGAGAGGATGCTGTCCTGAAATGTGATCAGCTGTAGGGTAGTGGGAAGCCCCCAGCAGCAGGAGGTGCTGGAGAGGGGTTGGAAATGAATTCAGGGTGGCTGAGAGCTCCCTTGGGTGCAGCAAGGGAAGGGTGACACCTGGTGAAGGAGTTCCCTCTTTCTATCAGCAGAGTACGGCGTCCCCGAGCCGAGCTTCGCAGGCGCTCTGAAGCAAGAGGACGAGGCGTGCACGGAGGAGCAGGGAGCCACGGAGGACATGGAGTTCACTGAGCTCAGCGTGGGTGAGTTGTGAGCAGCCCCACGACGCGCAGGGAGAGCTGGTGCTGGGCAGGGGGTGCCACCCAGGGTGGCACTGCCGTGGGACAGCGTGTCCAGGTCAAGCACTCCCGTGCTTCTCAGTCACATTCCCTCTTCTTTTAGGCTCTCTTCGAGGGGCCTGTTTGATTTTGGGGGCGGCAGGGGAACGAGTGAGGGGGTCTCAGAAGCGTCCCGTGCCACCCACCAGTTGTGTCACCCCTTTGTTTTTCTCCTCAGTCCCAGCAGACGAGGTGATAGCGTTCAAAATAGAGCAGCTGGACTCCGACGAGTGCCTGCAGAGCTCCGAGCCCCCCGCAGCTTTATCCAGGGATGAGGAGGAGGTGGTTTTCCAGGGTCCCAGCGAGGCGCTGCCCTTCGATGGTCAGTACGGCTCTCCTGTGCCCCTGGGACACCTGAGCACGAGCAGGCTGGTGCCGTCCGCTCACGGGGAAGGTGGCCTGGGCGAAATCAGCGCCGTCACGTTCTACAGGCAAGAGCGTCCCGAGGAGAGACCCCACTCCTGCGCCGCCTGTAGGAAGGGCTTGTGTCTGAAGAAGATGCTGATGATGCAGCAGCAGGGGCACGGCACGCTGTGCGGGGCCGAGTACCCGGAGGACGGGGAGGTTTTCCTCCAGCAGCAGCACCAGGTGGAAGACGGGTCCCGCGTGGGCAGGGGGAGCTTCAGGCAGAAGCAGAACGCAAAAGGCAGGGACAAGGCGCGTGGCACCGACAAACCGAGCCAGAAGAGCCACGCTCCGGGAAGGGCTTACAGGTGCAACAAGTGCCAGGAGCTCTTCCCCCAGAAGAAAACCCTCATCATCCACCGGCGCGTGCACTCGGGGCGCAGCCCAGGCGTCCTCTGGTGCTCCTACTGCGGCAAGACCTTCAGCCACCCCTCCAACCTCACCCGGCACCAGAGGATCCACACCGGGGAGAGGCCGTACCAGTGCGGCGAGTGCTCCAAGCGCTTCACCCAGAAGCAGCACCTCCTCCAGCACGAGAAGATCCACCTGCGGGAGAGGAGCTGCGTGGCTGGCGGTCGCGCGAGGGAGGCGCCGCTGCACGGCTTCTAGGGGTGGAAGAGGTAAGGGAGGAGAGAACCTCTGCTGCTCAGCGCTGAAATCCCTCCAGCGATTTATCCCAAAGGTCCAAGCAAAGTAGAATTAGGATCCGACTTGGCACTGCTGCCCTCTTCGTCGTGGTGGCGATGGCACGCCGTAATACCTCATAGAGAACCCAAAATCTCTTAAGAATAAAAGAGTCTGGGGCCTCTCCAGGTTTGAATCAGTTACCTGAGCTGGCTACAAACAGCAAGGTGAGGTTTTTGGAAGGAGCTGCTCTTTGCCTGGAGTTTCCCCGGCTGCTCTCCTGGATGAACTTCTGCTGTGCTCAGTTTCATGGGCAGGTTTGAGTCACACGTTTGCAAAAGACTCCAAGCAACTGAACACGTGCACGAGGTGGGGGCTGGCTCATGGCTTGCACGGATGCCCCACGTGCCAAAGAGGGGCGGCTGCTCAGTTCCTAGCTCTCCATGCACAGGCCAAGTGACATTTTTATTGCTGCTGCTGCTCGGGAAGCTCACTCGAAATACAGCTTCATCTCCTGGAGCGGCTGAGGTTGGGGGCACCTCAGGGTCCATCCAGTCCAACCCCTGCTCCTGCAGGGCCACCCAGAGCTGGTGCCACACATCCCGGTGGCTTCTGAAGATCTCCAAGGAGGAGACTCCCCAGCCTCTCGCAATTCCTTCTCTAAAATCAGATTTACTTTTCTGAAAACTGCAGCGGTAGGGCCACCATATGCCCTGATGCGTGAGGTTGTTCTGACGTGCACTGGGTCCTGCTCCGCTGGAGACTGGGTTTGTAGTGCAGGAACTGCGGGGAATTCGCTTCGTTGCCTCCTCCTGAGACCTGCAGGACTCCCAGTGGAACTGAGAGGGGAAAGGACTCGTAAGCCAGAGGCAGTGCACAGCTGTACGTTGGGATAACTTTCTGCTCACTGCCTGCACGTTAACACTTCTCTTTGTATGTCACTATCGTCTTCATCTCCCTTCCCTCCTGTTAGCTTGGGGTTGATATTTTTTTTTTGCATTATATCCCCAAATGAAATGTGTTTAACAAATACATCATGCAACTTCAGGGCTGGTGCTGCTGCCTGACCTGCTTGAAAGCTGCTGCAGGTTCTCCCCATCACTCACCAGGCTTTACAAACCCCTCTGTCGCTGCCTGGTCCCTGCTTTTGGCCAAGAAGTGAGGTCCCTCTCCAGGTCCTCGCTGTTCATAGCCGCCTGCTCTGATCCATTTAAGCTAACCCGATGCTTGCAGAATCCAGAGCAGGTCAGGGTGAACGTGCTGCGAGCCTGTGCTGCGGGACAGAGCTGGCACAAAGCCCCTGGCAGGAGTGCCAGCCGCTGCAGGTGTTTGCCTGCTGACATCTGCCTACAGCCTCTTCTCGCCTTGGTGCCGCTGAGGTCTTTGATCTCTCAGCCTCTGACGTGTCTGAGTGGGTCTGTGTGCGGTGAGCCTCTCTGCCTGTAGCCGTTTGGGTGTTTTTTTAACAAATATGAGGTCTGTGGGGACAGAGGGTTCCGTATTTCATCATTTCTCGGGGTTCAGTGGCCTCTTGCTGCTATCAATCTGGTCCACGTGCGTTCTTTCTCTCCGCTATTTGACGTGCTGAAGGAAAAAAGCAGTGCAGGGCATTCGATACCCAGACAGCTCGTTTGGGGCTTGTTCAACAGGCAGGTGAGCTAATCAGTCCTCCAGTGGTTTCCTGCTGCCTGGTGAAGCTGCTTGTCTCCCTTTCACCTTTTTTTGTTACCAGACTGTGAGCCTTCGGGGCAGGGAACACGTTTCTATCTGTGTGCGAAACGCCAGTTACATCTACGGCAGCAGATACTTGATTTTTTGATAATAATGACATGAAACTTGAACGGATTAAAGTGTGAAGTCCTCGGTGCTTCTTTTTTTTTTTTTTTTGGTCTTTTTCTAATGTCACTTCACCTGCTTCTCCTTGCCCTGGGTGTGAGTGCACAGGGAAAGATCCCAGGGACCTGTCACACCTACCTCGCGTTCCCTGCTCAAAGCAGCTGGCAGTTTGTTGTATTTCTTCTTACTGATTGGAATACAAAAGCCTCCCTTGCAGAACAGAGTGGGTTTTCATTGTTTTTTTCTTTTTCTTTTTTTTTTTTTTTTTGTAATACTGCAGCAGAACCTGAGCAGGAGCGTTGTTTTCCACGCGCGCACGAGATCCAAAGAGGGCCCTGAATGGTAACAGCACCTAAAAATAGCCTGTCAGTGAGCTCACTGTGCAATCCTCATCCTGCGGGCAGATCACATCGATCCTGCTGCAGGCAGAAAGTTTTCAGCAGCCACAGCGCTGCAGTCGCCGTCAGCTCAGCCCACTCCTTTGAGTCCGGGAGGAGCAGGATTCTTCTGGGGTAAAGGTGCAGAGGTGCTCCGATTGCCCTCTGACCTGAACAGCCGAAAATTTGGGAACATTTCAGCAGCGTTTGTGGGTTATTCTACAGGAGCTACAGGAGACCATTGTGGGCTGCTATGGTATGTTACAAAAGGATGGTAAAAAACACTGGGGTCCTCACCACAACCATAAAAATCAGCAAAAAGTCGGGGATTTGAGCACTGTGGGCTGAGAAGGGTTATGCTATTTTAACAGCACTCTCCTATTTTTGTCTGAGACCTCACGTTTTAACTGCTACAAAGCATCAGAGGCAATTGATGTGCTCCATATTTCAGCACGTCCTGATGCTAGCTGTGATAATACCGGCAGAGCAGTATTTTGCGCAGTGAGTCACAGTTTCCCTGCTCAAGCCCGGCTCTCTTGTATTTCGGAGATCAATATGTATATTTCAAACGGATCTCGGAGCTATTTTGAGGTTCGTGCGGCTTAAATTTCAGAAACGCAGCCCTGAATCCGAGAACAAACATTGCCAAGTGACACAGAAATGCGCTGCTCTCCAAGGAGAGAAGAAAAATCCTCGCCCAGATGCCGTGATGCTTACGGGACAGAGTGAAAGCTGCAGGGAGAGGCCAGGGAAGATGCAGGAGGGGAGGGAGAATTTCAGGAGCACAAGGTGATGCTCACGGAGTCCTCACGCCTCCCGTGAACAAATGCTGTGCTTTTGCCCTCCTTGGGTAGCTCCTCTCAGTGTAACTCTTTTCTGATCTTCCATTGCATGGTTTGAGGTGGTCGGGCACTGGGACAGGCTGCCCAGGGACATGGGCACAGCCCCAAGCTGCCAGAGCTCAGGAATCATCTGGACAATGCTCTCAGACACAGGGTCTGGTTTTTGGGTGGTCCTTTGGGGACCCAGGACTTGGACTCAATGATCCTGGTGGGTCCCTTCCGACTCAGGCTACTCGGTGATTCTACGACTCCGTTTTGTTTAAGAGCAGCTCAAGTTTTTGTTTGTTCATTTTGCAAGTACCTTCCGCTGCTAGAGCAACTGCACATCTTTTATAGCTTTACGACTTCAGATTTTTGTTGATAAAAGCCTCTCTGCGCGTCCTACCCCACAGAGGCAGGAATTCTTCACATACCACGGGAACACGGCCACTTCTGCATTTCGGATCGGGGGGCCAGCTCTCCTGCACCCAGCTCCTTAGCGCCGTGTCCAGGTTCTGAAGCCTCTTTCTGTCCATTCCTAGGATGGGCCAAGCTGGATGGGGCTGGCCTGGGCTGGGGGCAGGGGGCCATGGGCATGGGATTGGGATCATTGAGTCACAACTCAGCAGCATCCTGACACCTCTCTGCAGCAAGAACGAGCACATCAGTGACATCAGTAGTGTCAGCAAACACTTTTATCTTTGCAGTTTTGATCACTTCAGAGGTGAAGGAGGTCCTGTAGGTCCAGGCTGGGGTCTGCAGAACACATGGAGGCATCACTATGGGAGGCTGGTGGCAGCTCAAATGGGGTGGTAACAGGGCCAGGCAAACCACAGCCAGGGCCAGGACACACCACATGGCCACCGTGCCCCTGTCCTGGGGCCGTGGCAGTCCCCAAAATGAACCTCAGGTGCCCCACACCACAGGTCAGCACAGGCCTCGTGCACAGAGGGGATCCCACACCCTCACAGGCCCCAGCTGTGCTCCCTGCACCCAACATTCTTTTGTCACATTTTTTTGTCACATTTTTTTGTCACATTTTTTTTCTGATTTACAAATTGAGCAGACGTTGGCTGCAGCTCTTGGGGTCACAAGCACGAGGAACGTCACCGCTGTCCCCCGATGTGGCACTGGTGAGACCGCAGCTCCCGCCAGCACCCCAAAAGGAGGATGCGGGGAGGGAGGTGTCCGGCATTTCTCGGTGACAGGACGTGAGGGAACAGGCTCGAGTTGCTGCAGGGCATGGCTACGTTGGGTTTGGGGCAGGATTTCTGCATGGAGAGGGTGGGCAACGGGAGCGTGGGTTGGTGCACCCAGTGTGCTGGGCTCTGGTTCTGCTTCTTGTCACAGAATCCCAGCTGTTGGGGCTGGAGGCCCCCTCAGGGTCCCTCTATCTCAGGTGTACTCCAGCAGCCCCCAGAGCTGCCCTTGTTCCTACTGTTTAGGAGAAATTAAGGGAGTTTAAAACAAAAAATGATTTATTTGTGAGTGTGTTTCTGTCACTGTTACTCCTGATGAGGCGCTGGGTGTTACTTAGCGTGGCAAGCTTTACATTTTCAGGCTGAATTTTAAAAAATAAATAGGTAAATAAAGCGTCCCAGCGTCCCAGGCTCTGGTTCAGGTTCTTGTCACAGAATCCTGACCCGGTTGGGGCTGGAGGCCCCCTCAGGGTCCCTCTGGTCCCAGGGGTGCTCCAGCAGCCCCCAGAGCTGCCCTTGTTCCTACTGTTTAGGACAAATTCAGAGAGTTTAAAACAAAAAATGATTTATTTGTGAGTGTGTTTCTGTCACCGGTACTCCTGATGAGGCTCTGGGTGTTACTTAGCGTGGCAAGCTTTACATTTTCAGGCTGACTTTTAACGAATAAATCGATAAATGAAGCGTCCCAGCGCCTGAGCCTCTCGGTCAGCCGGGCCCCCCCCCCGGGCCCCGCGGGTGGCTGCAGGGGGCGCTGCGGGGCCGGGCGCGGAGCTCGGGGCCGCGGAGCTCGGCGGCGGCCATGGCCGGGGGCCGGGAGCCGGGGCGGGCGGCGGCGATACCGGGCTCGGTCTCGGTATCATCGAGGCTGCTCCGCCTCGAGGCCCGCTTAGCACGGGCGGAGCGGCAGCTCCGGGCCGCCCTGGCCCTGCGAGGCCGGCTGCAGGCGCTGGAGCGGCGGCTGGAACGCGGAGGCCGTCGAGGGGCTTCGGGGCCGAGGGGCCCGGCCCGGTTGCGGGCACCGTGGGCGCCCTTCGGGGAACGGGAGCGGCGGGCGCTGCCGGGCTGGCGCCGGGCCCTGCGCCGGGCCCCTCGCAGGAGCCCCCGCGGAGCGCTGCTCCCCCGCGGTAAGGGCCCAGGGGAGGGGGGAATGGGAGAGGGGTGGTCGTGGGGAAGGGGGTCGGGGGATCCCCGCTGCACACTGAGGCACAAGGAGGACCCCAGAGGCACCGAGGAGCCCCCACAGCTCGCCCCGTGGCCCCCCTATACCCCCAGCCTGCATCCTCGTCTCCCCTTCCAGCTGCCCTGCTTCGGTGTAAAGCCCCTAACCCTGTCCCATCGCTGCCAGCCACCCTTTTTTTCCCCAGAGCTGGTTTTTAAAGCATCTTCTGAGCCCCTCACACAAATATCCATGCTGGGGCGTACACCCCTGAAGGGCTGCACCGATCCCTTCCGTGTGGTACCGGAGCGTGAAGGTAGAGCAAGGTGTGGAGCATCAGCCTGTCCGCCTTCCCCTTTGTAATTCATGGAGGCGTTTTTAATTTTCAATAGCTTTTATTCATGATTTCCTCTTAGTGATGTTCTTTCTAAGCTCTGCTCTTGCTCTGTATGAAGCGGTGAATTTCGGCATCCAGCAACATTTTCCTGATGGGCTAGAAGTGCTGTGGCTTTTAAGGGGCACTGAGCAGAGACTGGCAGAGCCAAAGCAGCAGCAGGACTCAAAAACAAGAATTCAGTGGCACCTTCCTCTCCCTGGGACACCTAGAATGAGATTTTGTTTCCTGATGTTGGCTGCAGCAAACCAGGCAGTGCAGCTGCAGAAACGTGTGTGTGTCCCTGAAGCTCACCAGGGGCTTTGTGGCAGATACCTGAGCTCTGCTGAAGGGGTCTTGGGCAGCAGGAGCTAGGTCTGAAGCGAGGTTTTTGCTGGTACCAGAGCTAGAACAGAGCTGCTGAGCCTGGGATGGGATGAGAATGTTAATTAATGTTGTACACGGAATTAAAATACCCTTGCTTCCTCTGAACAGAAGACAGCATAATCCATGTTAAACAAGAGGAAGAGTTGTGCGCAGCGGATCAGGAAGAGGTGGAGGCTACGGGAGCTCTGGAAGAGCCCTGCCCAGGTGAGTAACTGCATACCTTGGAGGGAAGAAGGCAGAGGGATTAGATTCTAAGCTTCTTTTTTTTTTTTTTTTTTTTTTAACTCACGTTCCAAATATTTTATAAAAAGCTCACGTTTCTGAGCAGACTTGCCACCAGTCCTGACAGGTAAGCAGCTGGTATTTCGTTTTTTCCCTTCTCACAGCCATCCTGGAGTTTATGGCTGTTTTTCCTCCAAACAGTGGAAGGGGAAATGTTTCACTCCCCCTTAACTTCCTTACTCTGCACCCCTCGAGCTGACAGCTGGAAGCTGCTTACTCACTTTTTTGGGCCAAAGAGTTAGCTCGGAGGAGGCAAAATCAGTGGCAGGACCAGACGTGGGGCACCTTACCCTTTACGAAGGGTGGCAGCTCTGTCTGTTGGCTGCGTTAATTTTATTTGGCCTGTAGCTTTTAAAGCAAACTGGGATTTTTAGCCCTTTCTGTCAGATTTCATTTAGAAAGCGGGCTTACGGTAGCTCATGTAAAAATCTAGGGT